TAAAGCCTGGTTCACATAATTATGATTGCAGACAATCGCCAGTGATCATCTGCAATTATATGTGAACAGCTCTGCGATTGTGTGCGATCGAGTGTGATCGCAGGAATAGATCCATGTTCTACTCCTGCGATCGGTTGCGATCATCTGCTATCGAGTGCGATCATATGTGAACAAAGTTCTGCGATCATGCGATTGGAATGTGTCCAATAATGCTATGCAAGCGGCATGATACCAAGATAACCAGTTGTTTATCAACTTTTACACGTGCATGTGTTTTGACAAGATGGAAGGTGAAATTGACATGAAACAGTTTATGGAAGAAATTAGAAAATAGGATTGTTTGTTCAATCACTTTAGCAAAGAGTTCTCTCTTTCTTAAGACTTTCTGCACCAAGAAGCAAAGTTTCTTCTTTGATCTGGCAGTGATTCTCCACTCAAGTAAAGACAACAGAAGCAGAATGTTAACACCTATTAATAGTTCAGCATCCTTTGCATTTAGTTTGGTTGACTGGAGTTACATTGTATTGCCACTGAATGGTAAACTATGGACTTGGTTGTCACAGATCGCTGCGAATGGCTGCGATCATATGTGAACGTGCGAGTCGCGATCTTTGGTTGAGTGGTTTCAGCGATCGTGCGATCGCCTGCGATTATATGTGAACCAGGCTTAAAAATCATACAGAATCTCAAAATCAATGGTGTTTTTATTCCCATAGATGCATTTCCAGGATGAGGTTGTTGGGGAATTGAAGCAGATTTATGCACAGCTTGGAGATGAAGAGGAGTGGGACTTGGCTCTAGAGTCTCTTCAACAGGTAACACTTGTGTCCCTATAAGGCGATAACACTTCATGGGTGGCATATTAGTCATTCTGACACAGTTTACTCAACAAATAGATTCTGTGTTGACATCATAATGTGGTAATAACAAAAAGTGGCACACAAGGCACAGTGGAGTCTGGTGGGTCCTGAGATTTCAATCATGTGCTTCTCTTTTTGTTTACTTTGAATTATTTTTGTATTTTTTGTATTTTTTTTTTTTTTGCAGAAAATCATGTGCATTGACGATGCTGACCAGCGTGATAGCCTTCTCCAGACACTCAATAGCTGTATATCAACCTTATCATTCCCTCCAATGACTCCTATTAAACAGGCCATGTATGCTGCAGGGTGAGTCATTAATTGAACAAAACAATCAAGAGACAATTGAGGCCAAACAAAGGACTACCTAAAGACCTTTATGGGGTTTTTGGCTGAAGATCATTACCCAGTATGCAGATTATGGATTTAATAATAGTATGATTTTAACAAGGAAGAGCTGATCATGCAAAGAACACAACCATGAGGAAGCTGGAGTTTTTATTTGTCCTGTTTTTAAATTACTATTTATTATGTTGAGTGTATATATTAATTAGACATGACTTAAAAATGTCTGATTGAGTAAACATAAGTTAGAAAATATGCTTTTTGATATTGATTTAAATTTTTCCACGTTATTTATCCTATAGAGTTACAAAAGTGCAAAATAAAGATATAGATGATTCATACTCCAGAGTGCAATAAATTATAATTGATAAATGTAAGCTGCTGCAACTGTTTTTTTTTTTTTTTCTTTTGACCTTTATTATTCACCTGGATATTCAGGTCACTCTGCCTTCCTTTCTTGTTTGGCTACTTCTTTTGGATCTTGTTCACTGAATTCCCTATGTCAGAGAACTATGAAGCAACTTAATTTGAAGAGTAAACCCATACTGTTCCCAGTATTTACATTTCTTATAACTGTATGTAGATATCAATTACTTTGTGAGATGGTGGACAGTATTGTTGGACAGGCCAACATGATAAGATCCATTCTTGGTCTTCCTGAGAGAGAGCTTGTGGAGGATACTTAACCAGAGGAAGGTAAGAAAACCTTGCCGTTATCGTTGAGCCTCTTATATCCTGAACTGTCAGGATTACTGGTAAGTTAGCATTGACAACAGCATTTGTGAGTTAACCTTGTGAAATATGCAGTTCTTTTAGCTTATTTTTTTTTTTAATCAGCTGACAAAAGACTTCGTAAAGGAACAGTTTCTGAAATAAAAGTCTCAGAAAGTCGAAAAGGAGATAAGAAAGACAAGAGAGGAGGAAAGCTTACTGAAATTGTGAGTTTATAATTTCTGTGTGTGTGTGCACTAGCTCATCTGAGAAATTAGAATCTCATAAACACAGAAAACCCAGTTAGTTATAGAAATGATTTTACCAGGACTGACTTTCAAATATTGGAAATCCTACAGACTTAACAAATCACTCAGTATTAATTGCATTGCATGCAGCCTCTTAAATTAAAAAACAGACAAACAAAATCTAAATATCTGGAAGGAATTTTGAAATTAATATAATTGTACTGTTGCATGGTTTTAAATTTTGTTGTAACGGTTACCATAAATGTTTCAGAGTGAAGAAAATCATGAACTTGAAGGTTATCATTTCACATTGGATCTTGTAACATCTGTTAGTAGTGTCATGTCTGTTAATAGTGTCATGTCTTAATAACTGTATCTGTTCCCAATTTAAAAATTCACACAACTTTCACTTAAGGTGATAGACAGTAAGATTTTAGCAAATGTGTATTGCAAGTTGTGAGACTATGTGAAGTATGAGGGAGAAATATATAAAAATTCCATTTTAGGAAACTCTTACTTTAACCTTTGTATATCCAGAGACACTAACACTGTGATGTACCATATAAATAAAAATCCATCGAGATATTGAACTTACCATACATATTGGACAGTATCACTTTTTTTTTTTTTTTCGGTTTAAGCTTCATCCAACTTATGTTTGTGTTTTGTGTTGCTTAATTGCAAGGATCGCCCAACTTCCACCCAACGCTCCAAGTTATCAGCCAAAAAATCAGGAAGAGGTGACAATATTTTATTTATTTAATTGAAAAAAAATCTGCACTTACTGAAACTGACAGTATTTTGCCATTGATTAGTTTTACAACAGTACTGTAACTACAATCATATAGTGCATAAAACAATGAAACTTATCTCATCTATTTACCTTGATAGGTACCAACACACCATCCTCCCAGTCCAAATCAGCTCTCAGCGAAGCTGCAGCAGAGAGGACTGGGGTGAGAAATTTTCTCTTGGTTCAGGAATATCTAATGATGGGAAAGCCTGTTTTGCAATATGCCATTGCATATTCAATTAGTCCATGATTGTTTAGATCGCTATTCCCAGTATGCACAATCTTTCAAGCTCTTCTTTGTATGCTGCTTTCTTCTTCTCAGGTACTGCACGTGGTGGATGTTCTACAGGTTGTGCTTCTGGCTTGAGTTGGATGTGATACTTGCCCCCTGGTAGTTTTTCTATACCCTTGAATATATCTCTGAATTGGGATAATACGTACTCCTTTGTTAAGGGCAAACAGTGTCTCTTTCCATTTAAGATGACTGCGTCATTCAACACCTCACATGTAGGCTTTTGAACCTTACTGGAATCTAGTCGCAGAGCGTTAACACTTGTATGGATTTGTGGCATACTGGTTAAGGAGAGCGGGGTTACCTCTGGGAAGGCAATGTAGCCGACTTGCTGGGCTGTTTCTCTGCCTAGAATGAGATACCCTCAAGTGTCAGTCACTAGAGAAGTCGCCATCTGTGGTCGTTGCCTACCACCAGTCTGAATCACTATAGTACACGCCCCTAGGTTCGCTACAGGGGACTCTCCGTACCCGAATATTTGAACAGAGGTAGGGGTTAGACTCTTGTCTCCAAATAAGGATTTGTGAAGATACAAGGGCATTACGTTGCATACTGCCCCTATTTAGATCTCGCATTCAACCTCATATATGAGTCCTCCACTTGCAGTACTTAACCAAAGAGGCTCGATGTGCTTGCTTGAAGTATCATTGATACTCTTCACATGAAAAGTCTGAATATGGTGAAACATTTTGTGTTGGTTGTCCTGTGGTACTTGTGGACCGAACATTATGCGGTAGCCCTGTGGAGGATCACGAACTGAAATCCGACTGGCACTGGCTTCTGTTTGCGGGACTTGTAAACCATGTACTTGAACCTGCTTAGGTTCACCAGTTGTACCTTGTTTACCTGTTTTGCTCTTAAAGCACTTTTTGTAATGTCCTTTCTTTCCACACTTGTGACAAGTAACATACTTGGCCGGACACTGCGATCTGGGGTGAGTAGGCTTTGCTCCACAACAAAAACAACTTTGTCTTTTTGACTCACCATGCTCTTTATCTTTAGACGTCTTTACTCTTATCTCGATTTGACCACTCCGTTGTTTTCCCGCCTTTTTGATGCTTTGCTTGCACTTTGCTGTGGTTGCAGTACTGAGAGTCTGCATAATTTGATCTTTGACAATCGCTGTTGTATAAGAGAGTTGCAATTTCGATCACTTGTTCGGCGGTAAGGAAGTCCTGGTCTTCTTCCAAACACTTTTGATAAACTTTTGGATTCTTTAGACCAAGGAGAATAGCGTTCCTGAGAGCCATGTCCTCTGCGCCTTCTGGCCATCCACATGCATCAGTGACTTGCC